TTCCCACGCGCCTAGCGGCGATTTCTGCCAATGAGGAGGAATATCGGACGGGGCTATTGTTTTGTGTGCAATCTGCCATCTTGGCTGTTGGCCCACACTAACAAGCTGCCGAACGGTCCGCAGTTGCACCTTTATTATTTTTAATTGGACTGATTTCCCGCTACAGATACATTTGTATCTGCGCGTGCGCAGCGTTGACATATGGCATCTACTCCGCAGTCCATCCAGCTCCAAGCCAATCATCCTAGGCCATCACCCATCGACGTTCGCCAAACGAGACGCGACTGTACGGCTGCGGCTGGCGGCTGGCGGCAGCTGGGATCGCGGAACCCAGGATCGGGATCGAAGTCATCTTGACCAGCTGTGTGGTGGCTCCTTGCGTCGCGACCAGGAGGCCAAGGGTTGTCGTTTTCGATCTGGGTTGTCAGGGTTGCGCCGCGAACTTTTCCCACGATTGCGTCAGCATCAGCTGCACTTTTGCGCGCTGTTTCATAGACTACAGTGAGAGAAATACTTCTTAAAAAGAAGCACTAATGAAATATACAACAAAAAGAATTTGTAATCAAATTTTGAATTGAATATACCTTTGGAATAAAAACGTAACATATTTTGTTGCATACCTACATACCTTTACAATCGATTTCAAAGTAAATGCTTTTGAAACACATTAATTTTTTTATGTGTTATTAAAACCTTGAAGTGCGCCTATTTTTACCAGTGCACGCTATTTGATTTCTTTTTTTCGCGATTGTTTTTTGCGCCGCCCGTCGAGTCCTGGCTAGCGTCCTTGGGGTAGAAGAAGATGGAGAGCTGCCGACAGGGACTGTGGCAAAAGCGGCAACCTCAATTAGGGGTTGTCATCTGGCCGGATCTCCATAGAGCAGCCGCTGACATACTGCGACATTGTGACGTCACAATGTGATTCACCGCATTGTTATGCCCAGATATTTGCATTCACCCGAGGCCCAGGTGTTTAGAGGCAGGACTCGACGCCTTCCAGTCAGCGAACGCCTTTGTCCTCCGCTTGACTTCCCATGAAGGATTCCCGTTCATCGACGGGAAACGCCCCGAAATGGGTGTGCTATTTTACCCTGTGGGTTAAAGCCATGGCTTAGACCTTGATTATGTGGGCTTATTGTTATTATTGACTGCTGGCGGGGATCGCAAAAATATGAAACGATTAAGCTTATTAAGATCCATGGGAATCCGCTTCTGAATAGTGAGCTGCTATACGAGGGCGGTCAGATGCATAACGTATTACGTATTTTAAATGAAGTTTAAAAGCAGTTTAAAACAGCTTAAGTTTAAGCTAAATAAACTAAATAAAACCCATGTAGCCATCAATCAGCTTTAAATTTCTAATGCAATTTTAATTTCACATATCATCTGCATTATTCAATGGATTTGGTAAATAGATTAATTTATGGCCATCCGTCAGGCCGAAGATCAGCCAAAACTGTCATCGATCTTTCTCCGATTTTCTCCGCGAAAAAAACTGTCAAACGGCAGCAGCTCCATTGCCGAGTTGTTAATCAGCCAAATCAAAAGTGTGCCAGCCATTTAGACATTGTAGTCGGCTCAAGGATTTTGACAGCTAAGCTGACATGCAGAAAAGCGAGGGGCCAGCAAGAAACAAATCCATAAGTCAGCCGTAGATGGAGATGCAGGGAACACATGTCGGGTGTCTCGCAGTTCCACGAGTTCCACGAGTTTCTCGTGTATATTGTGTGACTGACTGGCAACCAGGTGAATATGGCAAGCTCAAACCCAGTGCTCAAAATGCAATGAAACAATCAATCAAAGCGCTGAAAGAGGCTTGTCGAGCAGATCGGCGCACGGACTATATGGCTATGGGAGCCACGAGATCCATGAGAGCTATAGTAATGGGCCTGGCCGACCGTCTAACGGTGCAACTGTGCACAAAAGGCACAAAATCAAATTACCGGCAATGATTAATCAATCAGCACCGGCACTGTGCTTTTCTCAGATACAGCAAACGAATATCAATCTCAAAGATCCCATTCCAATATATGCACGTAAGCTGGCTATACACTTTTGTCAAACATTTATTGCATGCCTTTTTTCTTATATAACGCATTTATTTTTTAAAAATGTTTCTTTGCCTATTGGTGAAATGTCCATTAATCAATTGACTTGAAACGGATCATGGCAAAGTCAGCATTTGTATACCCCTATTTTCTCGGTGTGGTCATAAAGCCACCGCATAAACACGATCTTTGCCGCTGGCCTCGTCTGGACCCGCTGATTGTGGGTGTGTGTGTGCGGGTGAGTGTGCGAGTGTGTGCCGGCCAAGTGGGTGCGTTCTCGCAGCTGGATACCCGACGTCCAAGTCCAAATCCAAATCCAAATCCAAGTCCAAGTCAGAGTCGAACTGCAATCACGATCCAAGCCAAGCCAAGTCAAAGATACAGCAGCACACACCTGCGAACTCTCACTGCCCGCATTCCCCTTGCCACTCCCCCCACACATGCCACAACCCCACGAAAGCCCCCAACTCCAGCTCCAGCTCCAGCACCATCCCATGCTCCATAGAGCGTGTACATACCCATACCCATTCAGTATCCACGTGTGCGTTCTGGTCGCCTTCTGGCAATTGGCAGTACCAATACCCAATACCCAATATCCCATAACCAATACCAAAACCAAATGCAACTCCAAATCAATGCTCCTTGTGGCGGTGGCTTCTTCCCAAAAAGGTTTGTGCTCAGCGATCGTGCCAAAAATGGGTTTGCAACTGGAATTCGCTTTTAGCCAAGCAACATACTCGAACGTGTGGGGACCAGGTCCAGCATCTCAGATCCTGCTCCGCCGCCAACAAATGCACTGCGAGAAAATATTGCCTACTCAATTCAAGTATTACAGTAATGAGAAGCTATTTCACCATGATGCCACATGGGTACGCTCTGATTTTCTTCGAGTGCGAGACCCCTGGCAGATCTGCCAAACTCCCAATTGCAGGTGGCAATTGGCCAAGACCAAAACGTAGATCGAGAGACCAGCTGGTGTGAACAGCTAGAAAGTTTTAGTGCCTTACCCCTCATCTATCTATATAATCCGATCATTTGGTCCTGAGATCGTGAGAATCGGTGCGGCAGCGCGAAATTTATTTGTGTGCTGAACAAAAACAAATGCCGCGTGATTTCAATTTATGGCCATCTAATGAAAATTTGACAAATAGCAAATGGGCAGGCACGGGATTCGGGGCCAATAACATACATCATGATCACTTCGCTGGCGAAAAATGCACTTCCGTCAATTGATTGAAATGCCTGGGCCCAGATGCATACCGTCTCGATCTCGATCTGGATCCGGATCCCAATCCCGAACCCAAGGAAATCGCAGATCTCGAGCAGTCTGTCAAAGTCCCCGCATCAAGTTGTTGGCTGCTCCGATTTATGTCTGCTCGATGGAGTCAAAGTCGTGACCCGCGAGCATTGAACTCCCAGTGAACCGAACTCGTCTACTGTGGACCTCGGATAATTTGGAATTCGCTTAGGTCTTCCACAGAGAAAAATGAATGCCCTGAAAGTAGTTCATATTCCACAGCAATATCGGCACTTTCTGCCTTATTCCGATTGTTGTAAAAACAGTTTTCAGTGCGTGGGTAAGTCATAAAAGAACAACTCACTAGTCAATTGTTTAACGATCCAACCTTCGCTTCCACGGTGCAACTAACTGCCTGACTTGGGGATTTGGAGCCCAAAGGCAGCGCCACACATTTAAGCGAAATGAATTTGAAATCCGCCTGCACGAAGTGCAATTTTCAAGCAGTGAGCCCGAAAGCCTTATTACTGTGGGAGCTGTTCAACATAATGAAGCCATTGCCATGGGCAGACCGTCAAAAAAAATATATATAGAGTCCAAAGAGGCCCCGAACCATTGTCAATCATATTCGAGAGTCTATTTTCCCACATTGTATGGCACACTGATCGCGTTTGGGTCCAACTCCTGGGAAAATCAGTGAGTTGGCTTCGCCTAGTTGTGCAACAATTATTTGGATCTGGTTTCGGGCCCTGTATTTGGAAGGGCCTGGTAGGGTCCACACACCTTTTACAAGGTTGCGCTCCGCTGAACCCCCTACCAAAATACTCTTTTTGTTGACAGTCACATTCTGGGGTTGCAACTACTGACTGCTTTACGTACTACCGAGTTAGCCCTTCACGGTTATTATCTAGGCCGAAACGGAAGTGCGCTTCTTGAGATATTCTAACCAAGTTTTTCACACATTCAACTCGGTGCGCAGGTGTTCCTAGGAAAATGTGCCAAAACATTCGGATCCATTGTGCATATGTAAATTGCCTTTTTATTTGTAGCGGAAATTAAATTTAGGACACGCTCGATTGCGTTGATATGGAAAATTGGGCACAAATTCCACGATATTTTGTTACTAAAAAGTTATAGATTATTTTATAATAGTGATCGCTGATAAAACAAGGGTGCTGCTGTTTTAACTAGCTAGGGCTTTAGAAATTTCAATAATATGAAAATCCAGATACTTTACTTTAAGATACTTTTTTTCTGCGTATACTCCAGTATTCGGTATCCAGTTATTTTACATGAATACAATTGCGCTCCTATCGGCGAACCGTTTTTGCGCGACACCTAGCGTCTGTAAATGAAGGTGGCATTGCCGATAGATGGCAGCACATTCATGTGCTGATTTGTAGGGTATTCTGTGCCCATACCCTTACTACCTTCCATAATAAAGTGGCAAGAGATCTTAAGCTGCGGCTTAACGTCTCACTGAATCCTGAGTGCGAGATTTTTAAATTTAAAAACAATTGCTTTTCAATAGATCTCGCAAGTAAACCGATTAAGGAGATGTGAAGATTCTTTATATAGTATATACAAAATATATGTAAATATGAACGGAAGTGCGTATTAACAAAAGAAAGCTGAAGTACTGCAAGAGTCCATAAGTAAAGCAAGCTATTTTCAAAACACGAAAGTCTATTCCCATCTTTGTTTCGTGCAACTTTTTCGATAGTTATCGATAGCGAAAAAAACACAGCTGCTTGGATCATGATACCTTTCCCTTGCGCCGTCAGAAAAAATGCGCAGCCTAGGAAACAAAATATTTTCGTCATCCAACTAAGTCGCTATTGTAAGCAATGGATTTCAAGTGTAAGTAAAATACGCAAATGTAAAAGGAAAACTAATAGAAAACTTACTTGCACATACCATAACCCAGATGACGAAAAGAAGTGGTGTGCAGCCAACACACGACTTTTGTTGTCCCTTTACAATGAACGCCAAGCAGACTTTCGGGATCCGAGAAAAAAAATCAAGGACATTTGGGGAGAAATGGTCGTTGTCCTTCAAAACCAGGGAATGACAGATATCGATGCCGTTCAGCTGGATCGGAAATTTAGGAACCTGAAGAAGACCTACTACTGCATAAGGAGCAAGCACCTGGCGAAGGGGCCGCAGTACCATCCGAACTGGCTGTACTACGACGAGATGTCCGAGATTCTGAAGTATGACCCTATCCCACCGCCACGGGAACTTACCATCAGTGATTACGATGAGGCGGTGGTCAGTGCGGGCACCGGTATCCAAAAAGGCAGGATGTTGTCCATGGGCACCACTGTCAGCACAGTGATTCCCCGGCAGATGCGTGTGTATCGCAAACGCAAGCTGCCATTAAAGGCTGTCGATACCGAGATCCAGAAAGACTACGAGGTGGAATCGGATCAGCCACAGGAAGTGAACCACATCACAGTCTTTAATGCCGCCGAGCCCAAAACTAATGATTATTCGTCAGAACCCACGGACGAGATCTCCATCAGCAACGCCGAAGAGGCAATGAGACACCTAAGAGCGCTCCAGGAGTACGCCATGTTCCAGGATAATTTCCGGGCCATTGGACTGCTCATTCAGGCGGAGCACGCCATTCAATATCCAGCCAAGGACAAGGACTTCGAGGTGGATCAAACGTAGTGTCCTTGCAAATAAACACACAAATTACTGCAAAAGTTAAAATACTTTTACATAATTAATTTTAAAAGCAAATTCCTAGCTTATACATATATCTGGTTTTAAGTTCTCCCTTTAAATTTATAAATAAATCTTTTTGGTTTACTTCATTTAAATACGGTTTATGCATTTGCTAACGTCACTGAAAATCGAATCTGGTTCTGAACAAAGGTTGCTTAGGTATTGCCTAAGATCTTGCGCTCTGGCCTTTTATATCTACAGTTACGACAATCTTGAGGAATTTTAAGATAAAATCCAACTTTTCTGAAATCTTATATTTTAAAGGGCAATAAAGTGCATTCTGCCCAGTAAAACAGAACTCTCAAAGCAAATGGGGTTTAAGAATTAACTAAAACCAGATAGTCTGGCAGCACCATAATCATATTCAATCAGAAATTAAGTTCATTTGCACATTGTAAGAAATGAAAACATATTTAAAAAGAAGTAACTAGGAATCTTGAAAATATGTAATGCATTCAACAGTTTATAATACTTTGCAATGAAATGAAGCAAAACTTTATCGATAAGCGCGAACTGGCAACACCAAATGAAACGATTGGGTAATACAATTCCGTAGCAATTTCGTTTGTTGGAAGTCTTTTATTTTTGCTAAAGTTATGGACAAGATATCCATTTTACCTGATAACCTGCAGTCCCGGGTATTTGCACTGGGTCCAGCCCCGCCAGGATTTCGTCCCCCGAATGCTGCCGAGTTTGCCTCGGCGGAGTCGAATCTTCGTAAGGCCACCCGCTACCTCAAAAATACCTATTGCAAGCTCGATCAGTTGCGCACCATCCTCAAGAAGGAGAGGAATAACGCGAAGATTCCGGTGTACAGGGATCAATCCATGACGCTTGCCAAGCAAGTGATTCGCTCCAAAGAACTTATTGGCAAGTACAGGGTAATACTGATTGATCTGCAGGATGCCGAAATCTTTAAGGTCAACCGGCACATAGAGCAAATGGAGGACCTGCTTTCCGAGGTTAACAATCGCCTGGTCTCCCTGCGGACCAAAATCCAGGCGGAAACCGATCCCGCAAAGCGCGAGATCCACGTGGGCAGCTCCTTCTACCTGGTGCGGGAACAGCACAAGACCAAGGGACTTTGCGAGCGTTGGCGGGATCGCCTGGACCAGCTGACCAAGGCTAGGATGGACAAGACTGAACAGCTTACTGAAAAGCCAATGCTGATCAATGTAAGGAACATTAGATAGAATTTTTTAGATAGAATGTTTTCCGACAAACTCCCATCGAATTTCGGTTGACTTGGGACTGAATTTGATTTGCATTTTTAGAAACCTAAAACAATTTTAAATGCAGAAACCAGAAAGTTGCAGGAAGCCATAAACTTGGTGAGTAAAGTCAAGAGATTGAAGGATAAGTTAAATGCTACTAAATAAAGAACTAATCTTAGAAACAAGTCGCATTAATTAAAAGTGGCTGCAAGAGGTGTGCATACCTAAGAAAGGTGACTAAACATGGTCCGTCCAAGCTTTGTAAAGTGTGTAAAAAATGGGCTGATGATGAAAAAGCAAAAGCGGTAGTAAATAAGACGACCAACAAATCGCCACAAATGGTAGGATACACTTTATAAGTCACAACATCAAATAATGCTACTTTTGCAGCCGAAGTCGAAGGAATTAGAAGTACGAGTGCGTACGGATTCTGTCTCAGAAGAATCTACAATCAAAATAGAGATAGAGGTGGGTTCTTTCTTGTAGATCATCAGTAACTTTAGTACTCATTTATAATATCTTAGACTGTTGAATTTAACGGGATAGAGGAAATTAGGTCCTTGGAAGACCAAACTAGCTCAAAAGCAGAGCTTAATCAGGTTAGTTCTTCCTAAAAAATAAAAAAATCTGTTTAATTTTCGAGAGCTTTTTTCTAGTCCTCCCAGTTATTTCCCATCATCGTTTCTGTTAAATCTGAAGCAATGACAGTAGTTAGGGTGAGTAAACAAGTCCTTCGGTAGTAATAGAACTAACCTAAAGCTGAGTTCCTCAATAACAGGAGAAAGATGAGACTAGTAACGACGAGGTGGACCCCACTGTAGTCGCTTCCTTACAAAATTCGCTGAAATCCATCTACAGTAAAAATATGGCCTTGGCCTATGTGAAAGTTCTACAAGAGTACGCTATGTTGAATGACAACTTTCGGGCAATCGGACTACTGACTGAAGTAGAAAAATCGGTCGTAAATCCGCCACAGAACGAGGATTTCGATGATTGACCTGATCTGCGCTTTATAAAGTTAATCTATGTACATTAAGAACCCAATTTTGTAAATAATTATAATAATCAAATAGATTGTATGGGTAACATTCTGGGTCCCACTTAAATGTTTTGGTGTTCACATGGTGAATAAACGTTTAATGAAGCACTAGATATATATTGAGCAGAAATAGCTTATATATACATATCAAACCAGTTTCCGATCAGATTAGGTGGTAATGCGATTGGTGTATTTCGGCATGTTAAACCAGTTATAGCCGCTTTAGCTTTAGCGAGAGATTATTTACTCTCGATCCGAAAATAAATCCCATACCATACCAAACGGAATACCAGCGACTTGTAGCTGCGATCGTTACGTGGGAAGTCGGTTTAGATCGCGAGCGAAAGAGCGGAATGTCTCTCGCAAAGATCCGGTTTTTCCCGCTCCGCAAAACGGAAGAGAGTCCAGATCTCTGTACTTGTACTTTTCGGCCCGCATGTTCAGTCTGCGATTTGCACTCGCTCTGGAAACTGTGAAAACGTGCGACCGCACATTTTGTGTGTTTAATGTGCCTAAAAAACTGCTGCACATTTGTGTAAAAGTGTATTCTATGCTCTAAGCTCTGCAACTAAGAGGTATGTATAAGCAACATTTTCATCACTGTCTGTATAATAACTATTTCGTATTGCTTGTATTTCGTATTGAGAACGGAACAGAATTTTATCGGTCGCGAGAGGGAGAGCAGAGAGAGCGCACGCTAAGAGAGAGTGGAGAAGCTGAAAGCGCGAGAGTGGGAGTGGAAATGTACTCTGACGTAAGTACTTTCGTAGTGAGTAAGTGAGAGTGCAATGATTCGCTTAGTTAAATCTTTTGAAATTGTTATCTCTGAGCTAAAATATGCGTGACTTTTGGAAATCAGATGAGAACATGTTATCAAATATATAAATGTACATAAATATGAGGTGTTCATAATGTATCCGTATAAAGATACAGTCACTAGCATATGCCAACACAACAATTTTATTTAAAAACAATATGAATTTAACAACAATTTTATTTAAAAACAATATGAATTTAACGTAAAGCTACCATAAACCCGAATCTTACTTTAAAGTTGTTAGTTTCGAATGCGTTGCACCCTTAGCTCCAATATCATAACATAGCCTATATAAAAGACTTAAACCATGATCCAATTACAGAATGACGACTCGCACGAAAATTCCAATGGATCGCAGCGCATCCGGAATGTGTTGACTCTGGAGGAGCGGGTGGCCGCCATCCGACAGTACGACATTGTGCCCATGTACAGTAAGATTGCGAGGAACTTCAACTGCAGCTGGGAGCAAATCAAGAGCATAGTGTCCAATCGGGAGGCCATCCTGGAGTTCCACGAGGCCACCAATCGGCTGAGCCAGCCGGCCAACAAGGATGCCGAGCTGCGCCGGCGCAAGCTGAACTTTCTGGGCCACTGCCTGTACGAGTACATCCAGCGGGCCCAGTTTTACCTCCACAGCGATGTCAACGAGGAGATGATCCGCAACCGTGCGATCGAGTTCCGGGACCTCATGCGACTCGAAGGTTTTGTGCCGAACAAACCGTGGATTAATCACTTCAAGGCCGCCTATAACATAACCCTGTCGAATCGCCAGATCACGATAACCCGCCGACCTCCACGATCCATGGACCTGAGGGATATAATGTCGTACTGTGGACGCCACACCTCGATGGCTTGCAGCTTAGCGCCCAGATCGCCGGAACCTACTCTCACAAACAGCGACCAAAGAGCCATCGATCGACCGCTTTATCGCACCAAGACATTGGTCACCACCTCCTCCCAAAATCAAGCCACCTCGGATGAAGTGCACCTGCGTCGCAAGCGGAAGATAGCGTTCCTGGAGAAGTGCGTCTATGAGTACATCCAGCGATCACAGTTGGTTCGCCAGGGTCGGCTCGACCTGGACAATTTGCGCTCTGTGGCCATTAGCTTGAGGGACATTCTGAAGATCGACTCCTTCTTTCCCGACAAAGTGTGGTTCAAGCACTTCAAGAGTCGCTATAACTTCACTTTTTCGGTGGGAGTTCAGGTGACCAATCGCCGCGTGCCGCTTTCCCTCGACCTCCGGGATATAGTGAGTTATTGCGGCCGGAATGAACACAAGATCACTCTGGCCCACAAGAAGTCGCAGGCGGAACTGGAATCTGGCTTGGTCCATTTCCCACAGGTGGAACCAAAACCCGAAGAATTGGAGCCTGAAGACGACGATGATTGCGTGGCCATTGAGGTGCCACCTGAGCTCATAGAGATAAAGGATGATGACGATAATGAGGATGAGCATGATGAGGACTTGCCAGCAAGGGCAACTAAACGAAAATCAGATGAGAACGGCGGTCCAACGCCCTGTGGCTTGAAGATTCAGAAGATTCAATCGCTCAGCGAGGCATTGCCTGAGGATACGGAGCTACTGCCAGCCAATAGTCCCGGTCATTATTCAGAGACCAGCGATGAGGCGCATCTGCCGCGTTGCGTGGAAAGCTACAAGGACGCACTGCGTCTACTGAAGCCCCTGGAGGAATTCGCCCTGATGGAGGAGAACTATCGAGCCATTGGACTGCTCACGCAGCTGGAGAAGATCTTTGAGACCGCTGCGAAAAAGAATGAAGAAAAGGACAAATCTTTAGAATAGCAACCCAACCAAAAACGTGTGCCTTAGGTTATAATTATATGTAGGTCTTTGAATACCCTCTGCAGGGCATAAGGTAGCCTCTATGAAAACGGAGTTCTAATTTACTAAAAATGTTGAGTTAACTATAAACAAGCAAGCTAATCTAAGAATGCTTGCAAAAATCGTGCAAGTTTGAAACACAAATATAAAATGAATATGAAATGAATTAGGTAATTGTTCCTGGATAACATGTTTCAAAATCACCGTTTACATATAAATTGTCATACCTCCTTTAGCAAATGCTTGAATGGCAATAAGGATTAACATTGTCAAGGTGATGCACCCTTATAACTGTTCTCAAGACGTTTTTGGGAGGGCTATCTGGGTCTTTGGCCAGGTTACCAAGCTATAGGGCAACTTTCCACCCGCCCCAGCGAAACTAACAATCAGCGCTAAAACTTTACGTTCGTCCTCTAAAACTTAACGCGATGTGGAATGAGACTGAACGAGTCCGAATGACCTGCAGCGAAGTTGAAGTTGAAACGTGCGTGGCACAGAAGCTCCGGAAGTGGGCAGATGGAGAGGGAGCACCGTAGGTGCTACATCAATTCTAGATGGGAGACGCCGGAGGGGGTGCGGCGAAGGGCGAAGTCCGAGGGACTGAGGACGAAATGGGGGAAGCGGATGCCAGTAGCGCAGCATCCCGGTGAGGGACCTTGCGGTGCCAGAAGGTGGACACTCACAGTCACACTCGCACCTACAGATTGCACAGCATATAAGTGCACTGCGAGAAACGTAGTCACTTATTGGTTAAGTTGCATATATGCTATTTAGGTTAAAGATAAATAGCTATTAGCTACATTATAAGTTATGAAGTTGCATTGTCAGGAAATGCAGGACATAGGCAATGTATTTAGTTAGCTCATGTCGCAGTGTCGATTGAGGGCGCTACGATTACACAAGCGGGTCTATGGAGCGTTGGAAACGCCACATCGCCATTGCTACATCGCCATCCGTTCCGGTTGCGGCAAAGTTTCGCCCTACGATGGCAACCCTCCTGGTTTGGCAGCAGAAGCTGAAGCAGGAGCTTCAGGACTTTCGTTTCAAGGATTTCCGACCGACGTCGTCAGACTCGACGACTGACGGCGACGGCTTGAATATAGCACTCTTACGGGCGGAAAACCTACGAGTGTAGGGTTAGGTGCTCGGGGGCTCCCCGATAAAGGTAGAACGCGAAGAAGAGGCAACATCAATGCAAACACAACAACTTTGGCTCAGGTTACTGCCACACGGCTGCGCCCCAAAAGCAAAATTGAAACCCCAGCGCGTTAAGAGCTCTGACATAAAACCCTGAAAGCGGAATTGCCGTTGAGGGATATACGACGAGCAGGAGGATTGACTATATATACACCTTCAGCTCTTCAGCTCCCTCAACCTCATGCTCATCCTCTTGTGGCGCTTCTTCTTTTTCCCTCGAGTGTAGCTGGGCTTCGGCATATATAGCACGGTATAGTACATATGCCAATCGCAGGACTGAGAGGATGTAACGCCGAAGGGCATGTAAATATGTCCAATTGGGCACTGTTGACGTGCGTTTTGCCAGTCAGGGGCTTATGATGTTGCACAACTGTTTGTGATCGGTGGATGCACCGGAATATAATGGAAGGGATGGCATGTGTGAGTCACGATAACCACCAAGTGTGTCATGATCCAAATTATAGCCATACCAAGGGTACTATAAATACATATATTATTGGCCAACCAAATACTTCATCTAATATATTTTATATATTCTTCTTTTAATATATAAATATATATTTGTATATATTTCTTTTTATGTAACTTCGTAAGTTACCACCATTTCTATTGGAAGTTGCATAAATTTTGAGGGCGTTTTTGTTCATTTGTCCTTATAAGAAAATCGTTCTACGTAGCATTTTATTTGGATTATAAATGTTAGAGCTCTGGGGCCTATTCTATTTATGGCATTTATATAGCCCTTCTGGGTGTAACTTTTTTATTGTGTCGGAATCATCGAATCCCACTGGTTCCACTCGCTTTTCTCTTCCACAAGGGTGGCTCATTGGGCTTGGCGTGTCTAACTGCCATGCAGTGCTCCCCAAAGTTTATGAAGGTAATTTTATCTTTTATATGTATATAGAAAACTTTTTCATTGTTAAAATTAGAAAAGCTGGGGGTTGTGCATTTTTTTGCGGATTTTAAAAGTATCCATAACACTCTCTAATTCTACATAATCATTATTTGAATTTTAATGTTTCATTAGATATGTGATGAAAAATCGGTTAATTAGCTTGACTGGATTTTTATATGTCTCTTAAATCGATGAGTAATCTTTAAAGATCTTTCCATATATCGGGGATGTTTTCTTGGAAAGAACAAAAAGCAATTACCTGTTCAGCATCATCGCCCCGCATCCATTAGCATCCTGTAAATGAATGCCATTTCATTTATTTACTTTGACTGGCGGTTAGTTGCACATATAGTATTGATTCTTTCATCATACCAGACTCAGCCAATCGACCCCTTTAATCGCTAAACATACACACGATGCCATAATCGTTTCCATTGTATGCCATATACGAATGGCTCGCCAAAACTGTAGACCCCGGCTCAAGAGCGACTCTACGAATACCCGTTCATCTAGAGTGCAGATATATGTAGCTATATACATTTGTTCCGAGCGAAAAACGTGAGAACCGACCGTATCTGATGGCGATGGCGATGATGGCGAAACAAGTCTGGTGCTCTAGTCTCTGGTTCTGCTACTCAGCTTTATACCCCGTACTTCTTATTTGGGTTGTCGGTGCGGCATAAGCCTCTTGGGCTTTGGAGGCTGTTGCAGACGATGAGCACGATGATGATGATGATGATGATGATGATGATGGCCCTTGAGCCGAGACTCAGGAGGTTCTGACGATAATGACGATGGGCCCTCAGCTTTCTGTCATGCGCCGCTCCAACATTGCGAGTTCGTTTCTTTTACTCGCACAACGCCTTTCCTCGCTTCCTTGCCAGCACACAGCCATCGATAGATGGTTATCTATCTGTACTGTGCCAGAGATGACGAGCGGATTCGAACTAGGGTACCAAAGAGAGTATCTTTTCTGGCGCCCTTTCCCTGCGACCATCCGAAAATATTCTTAGACATGTATTGGGTTAGCTTTTGGGTTGAACAAATCGATTTGCCATTTGTTATATTTTTTTTAAGTGAATTGTTCAGTTTTTGCGCATGTTTGCCTTGCAAGAGATGACTAACCCAACTACTTCATATACCACTCTACCTAATTGGTTTATGCGGCAATATAAATTATAATCCTATGTTGTCCCAATATTGTAATAATTACTGGTAATATCCACCATACACATCATACCATGCATACATAATTTTATAGCCTTTAACTTTTCCGAACAGATTTTTCCAATACCCCGTTTCCAGCAGTGCAAATTGAGTGATATTACACCACCATGTAGTTCAGGGCATAGCACGAGATGTTAAACCCCGATATGGAAATGGCAATAAACTCGTAGTAGCGACGGCAATGAGCTCACATCATATGGAGCGTGGCGAGGGGGATCGGATTCGGAATCGGGATTGGGATTACCAACAGCAGAGTCGACTTCGCTAACAAGGGGGCAGTGGCATGGAATCGAGAATCGGCCGAGGGAAGCGGGCAGGGGAACTAGCAACTGGCAACTGGAAACTGGAGTGGCAAAGGCACAAAGGAAATTACTAGGAAAAATTCAGGTCCCTATGGTGCTTTTGGGTGCGACAGTCGTCGCATAGATACTCGCCAACATACACACAGGGCTATATAACGAAAGATAATCAGGGAAGTCGACTGAACGACCGACCGACGGACGCTGCAGGCGGACATCACATATAGATTATAGCGCGCACAATGGGGAACGAGCAGAAGATGGGGGATACCAGTGGAGATATGCACATACCTTCGGTCCGGGGACCAAAAACGGAGCACTGAGACCCAAACTGAACCTCAATCTGGCATGGCATCGGAATCCAACAAGGAATCAAAAAAGGTAATGGCAAATACTATCTCGGGTCGTGGCTGCGATTTCACAATGCCCGCTTTGTCCCGAGGGATGAGGAGCTCGATTCAATATAATACATAACCATAATAAATTCCATGGCTAAATCCCCGCATCTCTCCAGAAAAAGGTCATAATAGATGAGCTTAGTGGAGCTCAGGGCGGGTGGGCGGTCCTCCCACCTACAGTGGAACCAAGCTACTTGAAACATACAATCAAACAAATGTTTTAGAAAAGTTACGAGCAAATTACAGTTTCAAAAAGAAATAATTTTTTTTTAATTATTTGTATAATTTTAATCCTCGTAAATTGAGAGTTTTTAAATAGTGTTGATTTTACTTTTATTACTGTGATTTGAAATAATTCTGTCATCTTGCATATAAAATGTTTCATTTGAGTGGTCAAGCTGATCCTAAATATTAAGCACTATTAACCCACAATTTAGCTCGAGATAAAGAATATTTCGCCAGCGATTTACAGATGTTCGACTGCTTATATGTACATGTATCGCTTATACGTGTATGTATAGCGCTGTGCAAGCTCGAGGGTGTGCGACTGTAGGGTTCCTGGCTCATCGCAATCACTTCGGACTCGAATTCGGAGTCATGAAATGGCAAAAGGAAAGGTCATTTTCTTCGATGCTCTAGCTCGTTTTGTAAAGGTTGCCAAGGGCTTTTACCCCCTGCGACGGCCACCCGCACCCGCACCACCGCCCTCCTCACCTCCACCGCAAAAAAGCATTTGTAGAAAAGTTTCCTTGGCTGGTCAGCAGCGGATAGCTGCTGGAATATACTATAATAGAGTCGAGTCATCGTCAAGCATCCGAGCATCCGAGGAAGCGAAAACCCGGAGTCCCCAAGCGCCAGGCCACCCAGAACCCACCCATTAGCACCACCCGCCGCAGAGGTTGATGCTGTGGTTTTATACCTTTTCCAATACTTTTCCTTATATATGTACATTGTACACACACCTAATATATACTAGCCGGATATATGCTATGTGTGCGATTTCCCACCACCGAAACCAAATCGCATCGAGATGGAAGGGAACCGACCGAAAAATACGAACCCAAACAGAGCGTTATCCATTTATATCTTTGAATTGTATTAAGTCTAATCCATCAAACGCTTTCGTCCAAATGGTTTCAGCTCTGCCGACG